CAATTGATGCTTTCTGAAATTGAATTGACGCTTTCTGAAATACATCTGGAAAAGGTGTAGAAACAGTTTCTCCTCTATCCCAATTTCGACAGTCTTCACGTCACAAAGCGTGGTTAGAAAATCTTGGATAACTTCTCTTATACTTCTCATCAATCTAAACAGTTATAGTGAATTCATGCATGTCTTAGTCCTCACTGGAGAATTACCTGTGTTAATTGATTAATTGTAGTTGTTTATTTTGAATTCTTGAGTTGAAACTAAATTAATTAATGCTCTCATTCACCATAACTGAAGCTATTGCACCTTTTCAATGTATTATTGTTGTATTGGCACTGGATACAAATAGTTCAGTAGACTTTAATAATCCTGTAAAAAGCAGGAAACCTCCTGAAATGTACCAAAAGAAAAAACCAACTTTCTGTTTATAATAGGGATACATGAATACATATTGAATAAAATTATAATAAAGGGTTAGCTAATGAATTCCACTCAGTGGAAACAAATTAATATTGTTTCTTAGGATGAAAGTTATAACATTTCATTTCTTCAACAGCTTTGAAGGTAAATAAGACCAATAAGAAGCCCACTATTGAAACAACTTCTAGATCAAAAAGAACAGTAATAAAAAGACACCTGAGCTTTCCTCCATCTCCCAGAAGTGTGAAGCCAATTATACCTCCATCTCCAAAAACTGTAAAGCCAAATACCATATCCAAAACAAACAAAGTTAATAAGCCTTCAGATAAACCAGAGACCACAGTTTTCAAGCCATTAGATAAGTCCAAAAACATAGTGAATAAAACTCCAGTTAAATCTAATAAAACAGTAGATAAACCAATAGTAATATCATCAAAACCCTCAGAAAAGCCCAAACCACAACCCAGAAGGCCCATCAGGATAACCTTGACACACAAACCAACTGAAAAACAGCAGACCAAGGAAAATATCCACGAAACCATGAACGGCACCTCTTTTTTCCCCAACATCACCAACAAGATGATCAAAATGTACTACATCAAGCACCCTCTGCCAGCCAAGCACCCCGAGGGCAAGCTGCAGTTCAAGTTCACGCAACTAGTAAATGATGTGAAAACCATGCAACTGCCCACTCCCACCTGGAAAATCAAGGTGATCATCAAAACGCAGAAAATCTCGGCAGTGGTTTTCACCAATAAGGCTGAGATAGAACGCAGTGTGACTTTCACAGCTGACAAAGACACCTATGAGATAGTCTTCGATAACCGGCCGGCCATTTTGCTAGGTGCGCCCGACCACGTGACGTCATCGAAGGAGATCGAGATCATGTTGCAGGTGTTGGAACAGTTGGACAAGGATAGTCCGATGGTTTTGTTCAAATGATTCCTTTGTGGGGGGAAGTGAACTGGATGATTTATCTGTGGCTGGTTTGTTGAAAGATGCCCCCCCATTGAGTTAGTTTTATGGAGGTGGACATTCTTAATTAATTTTTAAAGTGAACAAATTTCACTTTGAAATTTGGAGAATCAGAAATTATTTTTATTATATTATGTATCTTCAATTAAAGTAACACAAACTATTGAATTATTCAATTTACTAGATTAGAATTTGTATACAGAAGAAAAACAACTGACAAGTCTTTTAAATATAAAAAATTATGTTTGTGACACAAAAATAAGAAGAAGATACTTTAATGCTACCAACATAAAATGTTCATTGTTTTATGTTGGAACCCTGATGCCCCAACGCAAGGAAACATCTTTTTCTCTCTTGAAGCTATTCACGATTGAAAATAAGCTTACGCCACCTATCGGAGTTGATGAAAGCTGTCAAAGCGGCCTGTTTACTTCGTTTTGATTGGTTCACAGTTGTTTTTTGTCAATGCTTATTGGTCATATCATCAAAACAAACCGCTCAGAAGTGTTCAAGTTGTTACCGTCAGGTAGGGCAACGTGTTATTTTCTATCGCAAATCTGAAATTCCCCACCAATACCTGCTACTGAAACGTGAGGTCAGAGTTCAACTGATAAATATACTTCTTCTTTTCCTCTTATTTTCCCTATATCTTCTTCTCCGTCAATGTAAGATTAGTTCCACAACGGAAAGTCTGCTCACGTCTTTAGATAACTTGGGCTATTCAAATTTTCTACTTCATATTCTCAATGTATTTCTTTATATATATATATGTATATATATATCCATTTTTTTTATGTTCATAAATTATCTGAGAATATTCCTTTTCATTCTACATCAATGTTGTCCAGCAAAATTGTGGGATTTTTGATTTTGACATTGACCTCATATTTTATAGCAGGGCAAACTGGTGATACTGAGAATGTTAGTTCTCATTCTCTAGTATTTGATAATCAAAATTGCCATTAGGTGAACACAAAGTGATGGTTTTCAATAGAAAAATTACACAAAATTGGTTTTTGGAGAAAATATTATGTTTCACAAGGCAAGAAATGTAGATCGACTGCCTTGGCTGAATTCCTAGCCTCCCTACAATCTCCCTACGTTCGGCTATAGGTCGCGTGCAAGAACTGTCAGATGACCGACCCTGGAGGCAAAACATTGACACACAACGTCACTTTTCTTATTTGTTTACAAGTGATCGAAATAGTTTTTCACAATTATTTTGGCATAGGAATCGTATTTTTCCGCTATTCATCAATTCGCTCATGCCATCACATTGTGCTGTTGTAAAATGCACAAAAACTGCAGCGCAAGATGAAGGAATCTGGATGGCACATTATGATTTAAAAGTAAGTACCTACTAATCCTACTATAGTCACACACATATAGTTTTCATTTTTGGAATTTGGTTATTTCTCTGATTTCTCATCGGAATTCCTTCTGCAATAAGAGCTAATAGAAATATACCTGAAATTTCTAGAATAATGCAAGAAGATTGGATTCATGGACTGGTCTGACATGCTGACGAATCTGACGATCGTGTGTGTTGTAGACATTTTCAATCTATTAGCAGTATTAGCTTGTATTGCAGAAGTGGCAGAAGGCAGAAGGAATTTCAATAAGGAATGACAACATTTCATGATGATAACTATGTGAGATTACTATTTACCTGAAAAATCATATTCCCTAGTCTCTTGCTGCATTTTTTGTGCATTGTACAACAGCACAATGCGAAGGCATGCTTGAATTGATGAATTACTCAAGAAACACGATTCGTATGCCAAAATATTGTGAAAAACTATTTCAATCCCTTGATTCCACTGTAACCAAATAAAAATGTGAGGTTGTGTCTCAATAATTCACAGAAGAATGAGGTTGTGTTTCAATATTTTGCCTCCAGGGTCGGTCATCGTGCACGCGACCTATAAACAATCAGCCGGGGCAGTCATTCTACAACTATCCTGCCTAGTAAAACAAATAACTATTTGTTCAAAAACTAGTTTATTTTTATTTAAAATTATGGCAAAACTGCGTTTATCATGCAATGTTTTTTTTTTTCGAAAATTGTTCTTGGTACTTGCGTATTTTTGTCTGAAAAACACGAATTTGATAATGAAAATGTGAACAAACCATTATTTATCAATATAGTTCACTTTAAAGTTACAAATTTCATCTTCTATTCCGCCTGTCTTCTGGATCGCATTTAGAACAATTTGCCCTTCTTTTTTCATCATTGGACATTACGAGTCAACTAGAAATATGATTTTATTGTGGTTTATCCATATTAAGTGAAAAGAAGGAAGAATATCATTTAAAAAATAATGGCGTGTGTAATGCATATACGTATTAATAAACAATACGGATCATAACGGGTGCCAGGATGAAGCCAAAAATATGAAACAAATGAATATCCATAAGGATTTGGTGGCATGATACGCATGCGCCATGCACTATTATAGTAGTCATCAAAGACATGCGTTTCGGTGGACAATGACGTTTACTAGCCTTTCAATCAAAGCAGTATGTTTCTGATCGTTTCAAAACTTTTCCTTATGGATAGTCATTTGTCTTCAAAAATCGGCTTCATGTTTCGCTATGGAAACAGATAGAGATTATCCGTATTGATTATTAATACGTATATGGTGTAATGTCATTCAAAAGCAATCTGTTGACATTTGACATCTCGTATTTGGATTGACTATTGATTACATGGCCGTCATCGCTGGTATGCTTGTTTACTAAATATGAAAAACTCGCCATAAAAATCATATTTCCTGTTGAATTTTATTCGCGAGATTCACGAAGTGGGCGACATCTAGATTACATAACACGAACTTCAAACTGGGGGAAAACAAACTATTGTCTATAGATAAAGTGCATAGACTACATTGCATACATCTTGCTGTAGCTGTAGTTGTCAAACTTGTCAATGACATAAAGTGTTATCACTCTTATCAGTACACAGTATACAAGCTAATGGCACTAATGGGATTGAGTGAGGATTGAGTTTGTTTTCCCCCAGTTTTGACGTGGCTTTGACATGGAACGATGAAAACCGAGCGCCACCTGGTGACATTGATTCCCGCGAATATATAAAAATGTGTCAATGAGTATATAAAGTGTCCAATGACAATATAAGATGAGCAAGTAAATGCATCCAACACAAGGGAAAAGAGAAGGCGAAATTTCGAACTTTTTCTTGAAATATCTCGATAAATAGTGGTTTGTTCACATTTTCACTATCAAATTCGCATTTTTCAGTACCAAAAACAATTTTGGAAAGAAAAACCATCGCATGATAAATGCAGTTTTACCAAAATTAGTTAATGCTCATGACAATTTTTTGCGCTTCAAGAGATAAGAGAGAAAATCTGTAAAAAATGCTTGAGTATATTTTGAACATTATAATTTTTTGACTTACCTTTTTTTTCCATCATTTGAATTAGAGTATGATAAATATATCAACTATTTATGTTATTGGGAAGAAAATGATTGGAAAATAACTACAATTATTTGAAAACAAACAATATCTGGTTTTGTCAAGCATTGTTGTTAAATAATGAAATCAAATTTTATGTAGAGGTGAGAATAAATGAGGATATAATAATATAATGTAAATTTTTAATAATGTACATTTTTTCATCTTTTATCAATAAATATTCATTCTCCTATAATCTGTTTGGTATTTTCAATACCTATATATACAATAAGTGTAAAATTGTGGAGTCCACAAAATGCTGAGGAAAAAGTGAAAAATCTCATCTGGTTATTTTATCTAGGTCATTCGGTGCAACAGAAGTAGTTTCAAAATAATGTTGAGAAACAGAAATATTTTGAAATAAAGTACGAACATTGCTTTTCGTAAGTAACCAATCACTTCAAAAGCATTTTTTTATGGAAAGCATTGTTAAGATTTCAACTGCACATATTTTTCCATCAAGAGTGTACAGGTGTTTCAATTTTCATCTGCCAAAATTTCTAGTAGTTAACCGTGAAAATAGAAAAAATATAATATCCGAAAATTTTTCATCAATATTTTAAAATCATTATTCAGAGCCGCTAGAACAAATCTGAGCAAGTGCAATTGAAAACAATCATCCAGGGTGTCCTGTTATTGCTGGCCATCTATTCAATCTTCATTTCTGCAGCCAAATTTACCTATCAGAGAAACAATTTGAAAAAATTACAGAATATGTTACTCCTTTCATTTTTTGTATATTTAATTTTTATCAATACTCTTCCCTAATTTTCCAGCTAATTTAAGTCACCCTTAATAATTTCAAAATTGAACACAAATGAAAAACACCATCAACTAGTTTCGTAATTTTTCATAAATTAATAAAGAAAAAACGAAAATATTGGTTAGGCTTGAATGGATCAGTTTTCATTTGATTTTCAAAATCTATTTTCATAGGAAAAAAAAGATCGACATGAAATTTTATTTCACCGTATCATCCCCCCTGATGAGCGTTTATTTTTCTGATGGTAGATGATGACCAACCCAGACACCCTGTACATACAATTCAACAGAACTCCATCTCACTCAATAAAATCAATAGACCAGATCAAATTTTCAATAGAAAATTCTGGGAGAGAGAGTAGAAAAATAATTTGCCACGTGTTTTTTTTTTCATTCGCTTCACAGAAACGAATTCGGTTGGTTTTCAGGAACCAACCAGAAGCTCAATTTTTTTTTTGAAGGATTCAAAATTGACCTGCCCGCGAAATAAACAGTTAGAGTTTCGCCATGTGTTTTTTCTTTTCTTCGATTTGTACGCTTTGCGGCAAATCGAGGCTGTCCAAGAAAGAATTCAAAGCCGCCACGTACTCTTTAGGGTGCATCCGGAAGTGGCCAACATGCGGAGACTTGTCCCAGCATTTCCAATTCACCTGAAAATCAGAAAGAATAATTTTCCGCCGTCTAGGTAGTAAAAGTGTAACTTTACTGTCTAGGAATTAAAAATGATAATTTACTGCCTAGTAAATAAAAGTGCTACTTTACTGTCAAGGAAGTAAAATAATTTTTTAACGCCTAGAGATAGAGAATTATGTGTTCAAATATTGGCCAATAAAATAACATTTAATATCTTGGCTGTATTCAATGTCTAGTTACACAAATAATTATTCTTCAATCATGCCATTCAGCCCCTATAAGTTGTATTATTAATTCTATGGAGGTAAATCTGCAATTGCTTCGAATTCGCTTTATCGAAAACCTTGAAACATTCCGGATCTCAAAAATCAAATAAATTCACAATGCTATGAAAATAGAAATAATGGTGGTGAAAATGTTTCTCACTTGTATTCCCATGTTCTCCCAAGTTTCTCTCACTCTCAAATTGGATTCCTCTGTTCCTATGGGATCCGTTTTGCTGATGAATATCTGAGCAGGAGCCCGAACCAAATTAGTTTGGAACATTTGACTGGCCCTGATATAGTGGACTGTCGCTACCTTATCAAACGTTCTCATATGATATCTGCAATAGCCAGTAGTAAAAAATTTAATGAATCACCAAAAGTCACTAAAATCTGTGGATGTAGTCCAGGAAAATCTCTGTGAGTCTGTCACTGAGTCTTTAGATGTCACTGGGGCTTTGAATTTCACTGATCCTGTTAGGAAATCTTCAAAAGTCTCTGGATACCCTTAAAGTCCTAAAAAGTCTCTGAAGCTTTTTGGAAGTCTTTTAGAGTCCCTGGAAGTTAATGGAAGTCATTGAAAGGCTCTGTAACCTACTCGATGTGTTTGGAAATCTTTAGAAGTCATTTTTGTGGAGCCAATAAGACGTTTGTAAGTTCTTTGAAATATTTGGAAGTCACAGGCAGTCACCAAGAGTCCTTTGAAAGCACTAAGATTCTTTGGATATCAATGGAAGTTTCTGGATGCCATTGGAAGTCTTGCAAAATCAATTATCATGTTTGGATATATTTGAAGGTCATACTGGAAGTCTTTGGAAGTTCTAGCAAGCCACTGGTGATTTTTAGAGGTCACTGGACGTATTTGGAGAACTTCGGAAGTCTTAGGAAGTCACTGAATGTCTTTGGATGTCACTGGGAGTCTTTGAAAGTCCTTGGAGGCCACTGAGAGTCTTTGGATGTCACTGGAAGATTTATGATATCACTGGAAGTCCTTTTAACTCAATGAACATGTTTGGAAAACTTTATAGGTCACGCTGAAAATCTTTGGAGATCACTGAAAGTCTGCAAGTCATTGGAAGCTTCTGGAAGTCACTGAAATAATTTGGAAGGCTTTGACAAGTTTCCGAAGTCTGGAAATATATGAAAGTCACTGGAAGTCATTGGAGATCAATGTAAAAGAGTCACTGGAAGTTTCTGAAAGTCATAGGAATAATTTGGAATGCTTTGACGAGTCTCTGGAAGTATTAGAAAGTCACTGGAATTCTTTGGGGATCACTGAAAGCCTTTAAGAAGAAGAAGAAGAAGTTTCTGAGAGTCACTGAAAGTATTTTATGAAGGTTTTGGCGAGTCTTAGGAGTGGAAGTATTTGAAAGTCACTGAAAGTCTTTGGGGATCACTGGAAGTCTGTAAAAGTAACAGGTAGTATCTGGAAGTAACTTAAACTATTTGGAAGGCTTTGACGAGTATCGCGACTCTCTGGAAGTATTTTAAAGTCACTGGAAGTCTATAGAGATCACTGAAATTCTGTAAGAGTTACTAGAGGTTTCTGGAAGCCACTGGCAGTTTCTGGGACTTCTGGGAGTCACTGAAAGTATTTAGAAGGCTTTGACAAGTCTGAAGGAGTCTCTGGGAGTCCTTAGAAATATTTTAGTTTCTGAAAAAGTTTTGTAAATCTGTGCAAGTTTTCTGGAAGTCTGAAAAATACACCAGAAAGTGTTAGAGGAGATGTATTCAATATTCTCTCGAAGCAGTATGACGTCACAATAATCCCCACCCGATTCTCACATCACGTACTGCTTGAGGGCGGGCGTTCTGCAGCACCGCATTGGTGGGAAAGACAGCCACCGGCAGCCCTTTCGTTTTGTAATTGGAAGGAATTGACGAGTCTCAGAAGCCTCAGGAAGTAATTGAAACTCACTTGGAGTCTTTGAAGATCACTGAAAACCTGTAAAAGTCAATCAGTTTCTGGAAGTCACTGGAAGTATTTGGAAGGCTTTGACGAGTCCCAGAAGCCTCAGGAAGTATTGGAAAGTCACTGAAAGTATTGGGAAGGCTTTGACGAGTCTCAGGAGCCTTTGGAAGTATTGGAAAGTCACTGAGAGTAATTGAAAGTCATTGGAAGTCTTTGAACATCACTGAAAACCTGTAAAAGTCACAATGAGTTTCTGAAAGTCACTGGAAGTATTTGAAAGGTTTAAACGAGTCTCGGGAGCCTTTGGAAGTATTGGAAAGTCACTAAAAGTATTGGGAAGGTTTTAACGAGTCTCAGGAGCCTTTGGAAGTATTGGAAAGTCACTGAAAGTAATTGGAAGGAATTGACGAGTCTCAGAAGCCTCAGGAAGTAATTGAAAGTCATTGGAAATCTTTGAAGATCACTGAAAACCTGTAAAAGTCACAATAATTTTTTGGAAGTCACTGGAAGTATTTGGAAGGCTTTGACAAGTCTCAGGAGCCTCTGGAAGTATTGGAAAGTCACTGAAAGTGTTAGGAAGGCTTTGACGAGTCTCGTGAGTCTCTGGAAGTAATTGAAAGTCACTGAAAGTCTCAAAGTCTGTCAGAGTCTGCAAAAGTGTTCTGTAAGTCTGACAATCTACCAGAATGTGTTCTGGGAAGTATTTCATAGTCACCCGATGCTGAAATTACTGAAAGTCTGTAAGACTCACTAGAAGTTTCTGGAAGTTTATCAAAGTCTGTAAGAGTCTGAAAAAGTGTTCTGTAAGTCTAAGAATCTACCAGTATGTGTTCTGGAAAGTATTTCGCGATACTCACATGACGTACTGCTTGAGGGCGTTCTGTAGCACCGCGTTGGTGGGAAAGACGGCCACCGGCAGGCCTTTGGGTATCTCGGTGACGTCGGCGGCGCTGTCCCATATCTGGCCCACTATGCGGTCCAAAACGCCGGCGTATCTTTGCTGTTCTGCGGCCATGTGCACCATCACCTCGCTCCAGAGGTAAGCGCCCACGGAGAAGCCGTGCAAGACCAGGGCGGGATAGGCGGAATTCACTTCGAGGAATTTCAGCACGTCTTTCGCCACCATCTGGAATGTCAGATGGCACGGAACATTACGTCTATATTCGCGAGATTCACGAAGTGGGCGACATCTAGGTTACATGAACTTTGAACTGGGGGAAAACAAACTGTTGTATATGGATAAAGTGCATAGACTACATAATTGCATTAAGATGGTGTAGCTGTAGTCAAACTCCTCAATGACATAAAGTGTTGGCACTGTTGGTAGTGATGATGATTGAGTTGGTTAATTTTTTTACATTACAGTGAACGGGTCAAGAATTGGAGATAGTTCAAACAATTCAAACTAATTATAACGAGCAAATCAATTGACATATAAAAGTACAGCTACAACATGTTCACAATACACAGATTGTCCTGCTTTGCAGGAACAAATACAACTCCATTGTTCTACAGGAGTTCCTCTGGACCCCAACTTCAATTTTACTTCATGTGGGGAAGATTTCATCGCCGAAGTTTGTAGACAAAGTGCAAAAATGTGCCTTTTGTTGAAATCTTCTGCCTCACACAAAATCACATGATTAGCACAGAGAACTGCTTCTCCTTCCACTACTGGTCGGCTTTTTCCATCTAAATAAAGCAAAATATCTGCCAAAAGAACATCTACAACAGGCATTATTAGAGTTTACGATCGAATATTGACAATTGATGTCAAGAAATTTGAAAACTTATCACTCTTATCAGTACACAGTACAAAAGCTAATGGCACTAATGGGATTGAGTGAGGATTGAGTTTGTTTTCCCCCAGTTTTGACGTGGCTTTGACATGGAACGATGAAAACCGAGCGCCACCTGGTAACATTGAGTCCCGCGAATACCTTTTCAAGACGAGCGTCTCCCGACACAACCATCTTGGCACATCCCAGGTCAAATATGTCAATTATGTCAAGTGGTGCAAAATATTCAGATTTTTTTTAATAAAGGATTCGGTTAGCGTGTAGAAGTCATAGAAGTCGTAGAAGTTATATTTTTCTATTGGGTTTATATTTTATGATTTTATATTAGAAATGGAGGATATAAATAGGAGGTGTAAATTAATAATAGGTATGTGTGATGCATCAATGTCTATTCTGAAGAAGAACATCGATATATTCTGAATGATTGCGATAAAAATAGACACAATGAATGAAGGAAAGACTATTCATTTTGAAACGAAGCAATTCATTAATACTTTAAAAAACAGAAAAGCAAAAAGTGCGAATATTTTCTACTCAGAAAAGAACCAAAGATGCTTTAATATTCAAAAAACCAAGTATTCTTGAGCAAAAAGATATAATCGGTAGTCTTTCAAATAAAACTGATTTTCAGGATTTCTTCAGAACCTATTCATAACAGATATTATTCTAGATATGGATAGTTTATTGATGTATTGAACATATGCCTGAAACTTATTACATTTTTTATTTGTACTAGAATTAATAGTCCTATATCTAATTGATTTTCTCTGTGAATAAATCCACTTTTCCTTATTGCTACCTTTATTAAAGATTACTTTTTGTCTCCTACCAAAATATTGACGAGATAAGTATTTACGAAGTTCATTTCAAAAATTGGCGGCAATAGAAGTTAATAACATCGAAAAAACACACTGAATGGGGAAGTTATCCCATATTGAGGTTTGGATTTGGATCTTCTAGGAAAGTTGCAGATTATATCTTGCAACAGCGCCTAATACTTCGAGTCCGTCCACACCACTCAAATACTGACAGGCTCAACAAGAGAAAGGAGCCATGGGTGTCGGCTTCATTCTGTTCTCACCGATGACAGTAAATTAGGAAGGATAGTATCATTGAATGAAGCCGATAGTGATTCATTGATTCAATAATATTTTCGTTTAGGATCCAGCTCTATTCGAGATATTTCAATGCATAAATAACAAAACCATAACCTGTCAGAATGAAGCCAACTATCTTCTGCATTCCTGCTCCGAGTGCATTTGTGGTTATGTATGTTTTTGTTCACCAGTTTTACTTCTTCTTCTATTTTTTTCATTCGTTAGCTATTCGCTAGCTATATTCTTCACCATCAGCTATTTCCAGATTAGACTTAGAATGTACGTCACAGTTTGCCGTCCCGAAAATTAGAAATTGCTCTAATTTGAAAATGGAAATGACTTGGACTTTATCGGTCGCCATTCTGTACAGCGTGGACATAAAACTGGAGAGTCCCAAACTTATTTGGTTTGTTTTCTATGACATATCCACTCACCTGGGACCCTTTGGTAGGCCACAACAGCTGCCACGGACTGATGCTGATATTCAGTACGTCGAAACCGTGCCGCAGATAGACGTCGGCGTACTTGTAGACGTGCTTCTTCCTGGCCATCAGCCACGACAGCATCACCACCAGCGGCTTGTCTTCGGGCGTGGCCAATTTCAGGTTGACCACCTTGGTGTTCTTTTTCTCGCTGCTCAGCAGCGAGATGTTCTTGGTCACCTCCAAGGAGGATATGGGACGGATGGACATCCGGACCTGGACCACGACTGTCTGCGAGAGAAAAAAAACATGAAGGAAGGATAGTTCTTCAATTCAATAGTAATTTACGTAACAAGTCCTGAAAATACTGTTTTTTGGACGAGTAGACAAAATTCTAGGCCAAGCCGTAGGCGAGTTCTAGTTTTTCCGAGAATTTGCAAAAAAACAGTGATGAGTTCTATTTTATCAAATTAAAAACTAAAATTATGGTCACAATTAGGCATTCCAGGATTTTTTACCACCAATATGATGGAAGGAAGTGTAAATTTTTCACTGTAGTTAACATCGCAGATCATAGTAGAAACAGTTTTTAGGTGGTTCAATTTGAATACAGGCGATTCAGGTCGAAAAAAGTTATTTCATTGAAAATGCCATTGATATCATTACAAAAATGCAATGACAATGCCTTATCGATGAATACATACATAATTATGTAATTTAGGTTATCATCTGCCGAGACACAGTTGTATTGATGTGTCCTGCTTAGCGTAAATGCCGTTTCTGCAGAAAAATGAGATATTGGTATAGGGAACTTCAACATGCATTATACAGGGTGTATCTAAATAACATTGAGAGATTGGAGGGACATTCTGTGATGAAAATCAAGGAGTTCGATTGGTATAACATTTTTTGAAAAGCCTTTTCCCGGAAGAGTTACACCCCTCGGGGAATTTTGAAAAAATTGTTCTTTTTTAATTTTCCTGTATATTTAGCTAAATACACTCAACTTGGTTAACATTATATGTCAATAAAACTACACATTTTGGGATGTTTTCAACCCTGAAGTATACTTAGAAGGAGATGAAATAGTCAACCCTTAAAATATTTTTAATATAACTTCTTTTTTATGAAAATATTTTTATTAAAAGAACATGGCTGAAAAGCCCAATTCCTTTACTAGCTTTTTTAACTCTACAAGTTTTTTCAAAAACTTAAGCATTTACGAGAAAATATAACAATGAAAACTTACTTTTTTTAAATTCGGGGGGGGGGGGTGTAACTTTTCCGGGGAGATGTTTTTCAAAAAACCCACCTCAATTTTCATCACAGAATTACCCCTAAATTATGTTCGTTGTTATTTACATACACCTTGTATATTCATCTATCATATCAACCAAAAAACAAATTCTTTTATTTACAATGGCTGTGGAAAACCATAAACAGCTGTTTGTTCCCATTTTTTTTGCAGATAGGTATGGCACTTTCAATAATTAGAAATCTAATCATCATTGGAACACCGTAGAAAGGTCGGCGACCTTTCACTTTTCTATCGATACTTCCACGGGAAATGTTCTTCGGAAATCTATGCTATCATCCCTTCACTAGCAATACCAGTCAGACGAACTAGACAAGCCCAGTCAGCACATCCGTTCGTTGTCAACCTTGAAAGATGTCGAACAGCAGTTTATCAAAACTCCTTCATCCATAGAACGGCTAGGCTCTGGAATTCATTGCCTGAGGAAGTATTCTCAACAACATATAATCTCCAGAAGTTCAAAAAAAATTTCAATACCTACCTCCTGTCCATATCCTCCCTAGGAACGCACGATGTTCATTGAACATCATAGAGATTTCCTTTCGTGCGCTCCAAGCGATAAAGAAAAAAAAAAAAATTGTATGTAAAAAATGTTAACCGGCTATAAAAACTGTTAACGTATTTATTGTTGATTGAAATAATTACTAATTGAAATATGGGTTTATTGAATTTTTCTTTTACTATCGTGGCCTCGATAGTGGCATAGAAAAATAATTACATATAAAACAGAAGGCACACTTTTCCTAAGGGTTAAGGGTTATTACTGAAAAACATTTAATTTTCAAAAGAAGGCACATTAAATTATGGACGACACATAGTTTGGCAGCTATGCCATATTTTTTTCTTTCAGGTAGAATCGCTCCTTGTGGTGATTGACGGAGTATCGTCTGATAATATCATTGTCATCAATTCAGGAGATCTACAAGGATCAATTTTGGCACCAACATTGTTTCTACTTCATTTCAATGATCTGTTGGGAGCTACCACTTGCCCTATCCACAGCTTTGCAGACGATATTACTTTCCATACTTCCATCTCCTCTAGAATTCCCATTTCTTCCCAGGAAACCAAGAACTTACGACGAAGGCAGGTCAACTATGTCATTGAATATCTTGCTGGAATTACTGTCAGGGGAACCAACAACCAAGTTGAATTCAAGGCCACCAAAACTCGAACCTGTAGTTTCTCTAGAATGGCGGAACTCAGTATGCCTGATATAACAATGTCTGGTACCACCATTTCCACCATTAAATCTATGCTCGGTATTTTCATTAGCAGCAATACTATTTCATGGGAGAAAAATGCCCGATCCATCGCAACTCGGATTTTTATTCCAGGTGAGAATCTAATTTACACCTCAACAGCTTCTCGTGGTCTACAAAGCACAGATACCGCCAGTTTTGAAATACTGTTCTCCCATATGGGGTTCAGCACCCAAACATACGCTGATTCTGTTAGATTCTATCCACAGAAGAGCCATCCGCCTTGTGGGTGATGCCACACTCACTAGTACTTTGACCTTATTGGAACACCGTAGAGTCGGCGACCTTTATTCACTTTTCTACAGGAAATGTTTCTCAGAAATCTCTGCTAGAATTCCATCACTAGCATTACCAGTCAGGTGAATTCGACAGGCCCAGTCAACACATCATTTCTTTGTCAACCTTGAAATATGTCGAGCAACACTCTACCAAAAATCATTCGTCTATAGAACGGCCAAGCTTTGGAATAGTTTGCCAATGGACGTATTCCCAATAACTTCTAACCTCCAAAAGTTGAAAAAATCCAATACCTACCTCCTCTCGCTATCCTCCCTAAGTGTACGCACGATGTTCTTCGAACATCATAGGAATTTCCTTTCGTGCGCTCCAAGAGATAAAAAACCTTCACTCTTTGATCATAAAACCTCCAGAAGTTTTACCTTTCTCTCTAAGTCCATATTATATTCACTTGCCAAAATTACATCGCTTACATTTTTTTTTTACTTACTGATATTTTATTGTCCAACTTTGTGTTTACCTTGGTGTATTTTTAACACCAGCCCAGACTATCGTTATGTGTCACGAATATACTATTTACCATGGACTACCGGAAACACTACTCGAAAATAATGCGATACAAAAAAATCACAGGTATTTGAACAATGAAATATAACCCATCAATGCGATTTTGCCTTATCATGTTAGGCTTCATTAGCATTTATACTGGCATGAATTATCAAATCAAAAAATTCTTACAATGACACACATGGAACATGCAATTATATTGAATAAGGACAGACTTCGAGTAAGTCCAGACATCTTATCTTATCTTCGGTCGACATTGAAATGATTATAGTTCTCTTGGATATTTTAATGAGCACAATAAATTGAAAGTAAAAAAAAACTTCTATTTGAACGCTCTATAAAAAGAAGAAAATAAAATTTTCCTTTTAAATTTCAACTTTCATCTTATACCCTCATTATACACAATTCATATGATCATAGAAGCTTGTCGCGATGATCAATATTTAATTGAATTGAAATTTTAAAAATGTCAACTAAACTTAGCAGATTTTACATAATTAAATTAATACTAGTATATTTAAAATTTGAAAGGAACATTTTATTTTCTTATTTTTAGAGCGTTTAAATAATAGTAGATTGTTTCATTAGGATCAAAAGTGACACTTTGTTCGACAAGCGAATTTTGCATTTGCTAGGCGGAGCGTTTAGCGAAGCCACCAAAAGGGCCAATAATATTATATATATTATAATATAATATATAGTCCTGATTATTTGAATAGGCGAGTGGACTATTTTATTTTTATTTCCTAAATAGAATCATCACTCAAAAACCGTCCAATTTCATATTTTTTATGAATTTTTCGGTCGATTTTCAGGTGCTAAAATCATCAATAATGCCACGGTAATTTTCAAACTGCAAGAAATTTTCCGTCAGTAGAAACTGACGACACGATTTCGTAAGTAGGGGCAGACCATAGCACAGTTACCATGTGATGAAATACGTTTGGGAACTTCTAGGAATAAGAGTTATTCAATAATTCATAAATTCACAAACAAGTATTTAGTCCAGTCATTATATCCACATAACGGACCCGTGAATAATTTTTTAGTGGTTTTTTTTTTCATAGGTGTCTCGGGGGGGTCCCTGGGAGTGTATATTCAAAATGGCGACCAAATCAAGCTTTTGCGTATGTTTTTTTTTGTTAAAACACGGTTTTTCTTGAATAACTCGGCCATTTTTGATTCTACAGAAAAAGTTTGGAGACAAAAATTGTAGTAAATTTAGTTCTCTACAAGTTCGGTCCTTACAATTTTTCTGATAGGATCGATATTTTGTAAATTAAACCTGAAAAAAGCGACAAACTCGAAATATTTTCATTATCTCGTTTATTTTCAACTTTACGGAACCATTTTTTCACACCGACATGACAGACAAGCTACCTGCGCGGAATAACCTCTTCATTTATGCCGTAAAATGCGAAGCATTGGAGATAATGATAATCTTTTGAATTTGTCGCGTTTTTCAGGTTTAATTCCCAAAATATCGATTTTTGGAACAAAAACGTAGTAACCAAAATTGTTTAGAATTTGATTCTCCACAAGTTTAGTCCTCTTCATTTATGCCGTAAAGTTGAAAATAAACGAGATAATGAAAATATTTCGAATTTGTCGCTTTTTTCAGGTTTAATTCACAAAATATCGATCCTATCAGAAAAATTGTGAGGACCAAACTTGTAGAGAACCTAATTTACTACAATTTTTGTCCCCAAACTTTTTCTGTAGAATCAAAAATGTCCGAGTTATTCAAGAAAAACCGTTTTTTAACAAAAAAAAACAGTTTACGCAAAAGCTTGATTTGGTCGCCATTCTGATTTCACACTCCCAGTGACCCCCCCGAGACACCTATGAAAAAAAAAACACTAAAAAATTATTCACGGGTCAAAGTCTATAATGACTGGACTAATTGGTAATATTCCTAATTAGCAATAAAAAATCAATTGTCTCGAAATGTGGTCAATGGGGAAGACCACTGAGGGAAGAAATCCGTGCAAACCTCTTTCAATCGACGAATCATGATTTACATTTTATGTACAATCAATATTATGGGTTGAAGTTGAAGGAAATCGAATCTATATCGTTTTGAAATCAGCATATTTCATTTGATATTTCAAACAGCCAAATATGATGATGGAGTCGTGACGTATTAGTCCCGAACTGTAGCTATCTCTCTCTAATACCTCGTTATTCTGCAGTGTTGCAGTGTAATTGGTCAGTTCAAGGACAATAGGCGTGTTGGGACTAAGACGTCGCACCAGTCACACCAATGAATTGATGAAATTGCAAATGGCACAGGAATTGTGTGTTTTGAAATGGACATATACTGATTTATTTTTTTCATCGTCTTAGTATGAATGAAAAAATTCAAAATCAATTCACTGGTAGTTTTTCAGTATAGAGTTCACGATAATGTCGTTTTAAAAAATCAGTGGTCTTCCCCATTGCTTATAATCAAATTGTGTAAATAATAATTATATTAATTCACACTAGAGGGCATTTGACTCGGTGAACAGCGAACGAATTGTGGGCGTGGTCTTGTCAGTTCTCAGCATTCAGCACAATGTTGCCAAGTCTCCAAGATTTACATGATATTGTGTTATGGAGAATAAGAAATATTTCGACATGTTGGTTCCTCGAAAAAGTCAAGAATTAACTATAATATCATGGGTGCCTCCTATTATGTTTTATTCAACGACAGGACTCTAACATCTCTTCGATAACTTGATTATAATTGGTGACTAGACAACCTTGCTTCATGAGTGAAAATGAAAGATTATCTGACCAATAACGAAACAGCATAAAAACTGACGTCACCATTTATTAGACGTATCGCCAAATGGCGGTCATGACGGTTCGTTTGAAATGAGCTCTGAAATTCAACAATTTCGAACAACGCATAGACACATTATTTACGTAAAGAAAGCGTGAGAAGTGTGGCAAAAATTGATTTAGGTTCCTAACGACACAGTGGGGTAATTGAATGCCGATAATTCATTTTCCTACGAGCGTGCGCAAAGTAGTACTTTTCCGCACTCATTTGCGTGCGCAAAGTAATATTTTTCCGCACTCAGTGCGGATATGGGATATAAGTAAAACTACCCAAAAATCTCACTGGTATGGAACATTTATATCCATTTCAGTTGCTATAGACTATTTTATGCACTATAAGAAGCCGTTATCCCTTCAACTTTTCGACCGTTCTTCCCGATATTTGTATTTCACCTCAATATAAATATTAGGAACGAATGATTTAATTTTCTATCATTATATTTTATTGATATGTAAGTGTTTGTTGTTTAGCTATTTCTATCAAGTTTAACTAAAATTATTCAATAAATTGTAATTTAAGTTGATTTTTTTTTATTTTCGTTATCTGATATGAAGCTGGTAGGAAAAATGTTATTTTTTATTATTATATTTTATTGTTTTATGTGATTTTTGTATAGTTACATTTTTCAATGTTATAATTTTTTTTCATTTTCCTTTTTATCTATCACCTAACTGTATTTGCGTGTGGAAAAGAAACACTTTGCGCACTTGTTAGGAAAAGAACTATATCAGCTCACTCGCACATTCAGAAGTTTTGTCTTTATGTGTTGACGTATTTTCAATACAACAAGAATGCAATGAATAACTCGGTTAAAAAAAATCACATACCACAATAAAACACAGAAATAAGCTCCTATAAAAACGAGTATTATCTTAGATTGGTGGACACGTAGCTACTGAAGTTAATCCGGACAAATATTTTTATGAGAAACAGTAGTGAACCTGGCATGCTATATCTAATCAAAAAAAGAAGATGACCTTTGTCCTTTGTTCTTTATGACATATAATATAACAATTGCATGTCGATTGATAAGGTTTATATCTTCCGAACATTTTGTCTGGCTAGATCTTGTTTGAATGTAATATAATTATTTAATCTAAGCGTTTCTGGTGAACAAGAAAATCACTTCAATTGCATTTTTTAATTCTCGCTTAAGAGCTGATGTCATCAATGTATCACACTTGGGGTCTAGCGGTAATGACTACAGAGCTATATAGAGTGTTCAAAATCGAGATTATTCAACTTAAGGATATACAGTGTGGATACTAACTGGAATAAATCCGTTAGCGGGAAGGTGAATATTTTTTTTGAATTCAATTTTTTTTAAATTCCCGACAAAAATCAACAATTTAACGTATTTACCTACGTTTTACAAGCATTATCGAGAATATATCCCTGCATTGGAGCTGAAACCACCCTTAACATATTTTTTTCAAATGTAACCCTATGGCTTGTGACCCCTCATTAGAAAGCTGGTGTGAAGATGAGTGTACTGATCAAATGTTAGTTTTTCATACGTTTAAAGATTGCATAATATCGAAATATAATTTCAACGTATCAATCAATAAGAATTTGTATTGAACAATTGATGGCAATTTTTTGCCACTACTGCTATCTCTATTGAATTCCAGTGTTTTTATAGAGCTGTAAAAAGAAAATAGTATATTGTTCAACGAGTACGGAACTCGCTACGAAATGATAGTGAGGAAAATGCTAATTTTAGATGAATGATTTTTAAAGAGAATGGGCACTCGAACATCTGAATCGAAATCGAAAGAGTCCAGGAGATGTTCTGATTGAAAGAACTAACATTTTTCCATTCGCCAGCGGTTTTTGTAAATCACAAATGTTTGAGATAATCCACCATTTTGTTTTTTTTTTTTCATTTATGAGAATTTCAAATCTTCCACTGTCTAATTATAGATCTAAATGTGTGTATTTAGATCTATGGTTTATTACAGTTTTTTATCTTTGAAATGGCTTTGAGAAATTAGAAATGGATTGAAATTTGATAAAGCCAGAAGCAAAATAATAATCGTTATTACAAGATTAGCACATTCACTCCATATCTCCTGGACTATTTGTTGGAGTACTCATTCTCTCCAGAAATGAATGGTGTAAAGTATAACATCGGTAAAGGTTGGAAAAATTCTTATTTTCCTATTCGTCAGCGGTTTTTGTAAATCTCAAATGTTTGACATACTCCACCATTTTTTTTTTCAATTATGGAATTTTCAAGCACTGCACTGTATACTATAGTCCTTTAGCTACA